TAGGACGGCGTTGTGGGGGCGAACGAGATTGACGGCGAGCAGGGGATGGTGAGCGGGCGTAGCGAGGTCTCGTCAGAGGTGCGGCAGAATCAGAGGATGTGGTCGGCATAGGGGAATCAAAATCAAATGTTGAAGACAACTGGTGGTCAGAAGTGGCCTGAGTAGGAGGCCCATAGCGTGCCGGCGGAGCCCTGTGATTGCGGCAATATGACCGACACGTCGGCAGTTGAAGCATATGGGCTTGTCGTCCAGTGTACGCCATTCGGACAAATCGCGCTGTCGAGAGTAGTTGGAACCAAATCGAGGAGCGGAGGGACGACGATAAAAAGGCTCGGCAGAGTAGACTGGTTGAATAGTGTGTAGGCCGACGTTCGATAATTCTTGACGAACGACGGCTTGTATCAGTGAGATAGTGGTCGGTGAAGGATCAGGCGTTGGAAATGGAGTAGCTACTGGTTGGGCTGCCTCGACCTCACGACGAATGATGCGGGTGAGGTTGTCACATCGGGGAACTGGGCGGATGACGTCATCACAAGAGGAAGTAGCAGCTGTGTTCGGCAGGCGCATGATGCCGTGGGTGACCCGGCGGGCTTTAGCCTGTTCTAGACGGCGGCATTCTGTCAGGATCGTGTCGATGCTCGTGACATTATTAAAAACCAGCAGGTTGAAGGCATCGTTAGCAATCCCTTTGAGGACGTGATTAACTTTTAGGGGCGAAGCTCCTTAGGGTGTGGGCTGTGCGTCCCCTGTAGCCTGTATGTAGCCACCTCTAGTTTAGTTCTTGCAGTGTTCACTAGATGGCGGTACCGTCTCCTGTATGTAGCCACCTCTCGTTTAGTTCTTGTAGTGTTTACTAGATGGTGGTACTTGTAGCTGATGATGAAAAGATGCAAGATGTTATAAACTAGAAAGCGGTACTTGTAGTTGATGAAAGACGCGAGATCTTATAAAATAGGAATGATGTCACATATGGCGCGTGTCATTGGTTGAAGGCAATCGTTCGATTTAGTGCGGCGACGTACGCTAGGGGGAGCGATGTAATAAAATTGAGTGGGCAAAATGTACAGAGGATTCATGGTTTACCAGGTTTACCTCCGGAGCTTCGCCCACTCATCATCATTCACTTCGTGGATATGGCGGAAATTTTTTTCTTCTTCTGACATGCGCTGGTCGACCTTGCTACAAAGCGCCAAGACGTCAAGAGCCGATGAGACGTACGATTCAGTAGACGTCTGGGCGCGAGTGGCGAGAGTCTTGTCGGCAGCGAGCTGACGATCAGATGAATCGCCGAAAAGATCACGGATCTTCGATTTGAAAAGATCCCAGCTTGTGATTACGGTTTCGTTGGTTTCGAACCATGTCCGCAGCGTGCCGTCGAGGTAGAACACAACATTGGCGAGCATGAGCGTGGGATCCCAGCTGTGGGTAGCACTGACTCGCTCGTACCGGTGCAGCCAGGAGTCAACGTCGATGGTGCCGTCAGCGGAGAAAGTTCCAGGATCCCGCAGGGGTGGCAGGGTGACGTAGGTTGTCGACTCGGATCGAGAGACCGGTGGGGATGAGGCACTGGCAGTTGAAGTAGCCGAAGAGTCCCCGGTGTTGCGACCGCTGCGCGTCTCCATCGAGGTACGGGAGTCGTCCACCTCCACCAATAATGTTACGGGTAACTTATTTAATAAATTAAATACGATGCACTGTGCTCGGTGAACAAGATGGCGACAATTCATCAACAACCAGCCACCAACGTCGTCTTTCTCTTTCTTGCAGACAGGCTGTGCCGGCTGTTGCGTATCAATATGATTGCACTGTACAGTGAACTGTTAACTCAAATATATCACATTCTAAAGCTAAATCTCAAGGGGGCACTCTAAGGACTGTCCTCCCCAGCCTGACCACAAGTCTGGACTCCCTTGACCCCCCCCCCCCTTCCCCCATGATTTACGCCTATGAGGCTACTATACTGCTTGTATACTAGTATAGAAAATGTTTAATAATAAATATAAATATTTATTAGATGCCTAAGCGATGTTTCAGACTTTAGAAGTCGTTAAAACACCAACAAAAATCTTAAGCTGGAGCATTTTTTTTCTGCTTCGAAGACACTTAAGCCTGCTTCAAAGCACAATTTTTTCTGCTCCAAAATTTGCTTCAAAAAGCAAAATGTCACTTCCATCACTGCTCATAACGACAGCATTCGTGCACCAGTTTTCATAATTATTTTCATGTTCATCTCGGCATTTATTAGTACGATCATTCTAGCGCTAAATAAGGCAGTCACAAAACTATCAAAGAGCCCGTTCAAGTTATTACTGGAAGTTAATTATATATACTAAACAAATTTGCCCATACCGAAAATGTTGAGCTAAAGTTTAGTTGCAAAAAGTCTCTGAAGTTGCCTACTTTCTTACAAATGAGTTCTGCAGACTCTTGCATGTTGACTCAATGGGCTGGGAAAGAGATAGTTGACGACAGTGTATTCGTTGCACTCAGCCACAAAGGCATTGGTCCTGGGTTTGATCCTTAGACCAGAACAAATTTTTCTTCAACTAAGGTGCTTTTCGTTCTGAAATACTTTGAAACCTCAATACAACAACTTTTGATATAACAAAATATTGTTTATAACAAAGTAAGTGAAGAACAGTCTTGCAATAGATTTAGTGTTAAAATATACCTTTATAACCAACCTATTTTCATATAAGCAGCAACTTTGTTATAATGTGGTTTGAGTGTATATATGCATAGGCATGCGCAAAAGGTGGGCAGAGAGGGCGGCTGCACCCCCTATTCACCTAAGAGGGGGGCACGACACATCCTCCACGCATTGACTAGGGGGCCGGGCACCCTCCTAGTCATCTAAGGGGGGTGCAATATCTGCCCCATACATTCACTTAATAGGAGGAGATGCTGCAATGAACCTTCCCCCCACCCTGAACGTGAACCGTGCACACGCCTATGTGTATATGTATGGATTTCTGTGTGGCTTCGTTTTACAAGTGGGTGATTTCCAGTTATCTCTTTCATGCCAAAGCATCCTTGGCACATACGTGATCATGGACCCTGTCACTCTGTTTTCTTCACCGTAGCTTGCACTTTTGTGGCTAACAGAAATGACTTGAACTGTAAATAACTTGCTGGCTTATATTGAAAGTGGAAAACAGAATAAATAAGGAAAATTGTGGTGTATACTTTTATATCAAGAAAAAACAAGCAGAAAAGCCAGAAAAGCAGCTCTATTCAGCACCATGTTAGAACCATTAGGTGAGGATGTTATATGATTGAAGCTTACTCTAGAAATGACCAGATCAATGAATTGCAAGTGTGTATTCTTGTGTCCCTAAGAGTGAAATGCAAGAGTTGTTTAAGAAAGTAGAGTTGATTTAGACCCTCATTAGTAATATGTTCTATGTGAGCAGTCCAGTGTAATTAATCTAAAGGGAGTATTATGCCTAAATACTTAAATAACACTACTTTTTTTATTACTGAATCATTTGTTTTATAAGAGCTTTAGGATGGAGTGATGTTAGTGAAGATGGAAGATGTTAGCTCTGCAAAGTTTTCTGTGCAAGTTATTGTCCCTTAAACAACACAATGATCCACAAAGAGACGGATTGAGGAAATTATGTTAGATGCAAAGGTACAGCCTGGCCTTGTTCTGCCTCAATTGCCTTCTAATGTTAATAATGAAATCATGTGTTGTCTACACTAATCCTTAGCTTATCTCACATGGAATTTGAAATTTCAGACTTGTATATTATGCAGAGCCTAGCTTAAGAAATACAGTGATAGAATGGGCTTGAAACAGTGTCACGAATGCCTCGATACTTTCACTTTTTCCTATGATTACTCCACATCCGCAACGGTGGTCTAGTGGCTAAGGAACTTGGCTGCTGACCGCCAGGTAGCTGGATCGAATCCCAGCTGTGGCCATTGCATTTTCAATGGAGGCAAAAGTGCTTGAGGCCCTTGTGCTTAAATTTAGGTGCACATTGAAGAACTCCAGGTGGTCGAAACTTCTGAAGCCCTCCACTACGGCCTCTCTCACAAACGCACGGTAGTTTTCGGACGCTAAACCCCAATAATTATTATCATACAATTTCTCCACAGTGAGTCAGGAATCGCAAGATTCAGTAATGTATGCTTTGACATACTTTCCAAGCCGTTTACAAAATGCTTTCATAACTGCTGGCCACATGCTTTGGTGTATTTCAAATACAAGTATGCACAGTCTGCTAAACATAACTTTTGGAGTCTATTCGAGAAGGACATAAGCAAGAACACACACAGAAACACCGAGCGCTACACGAGGTGCTTTTGCGCGTTTTCTGTTGCATCAATTTCAGCTGTGCCCCCAGTGCGTCTGATTTTGGTGTTTAGGCACGAGGTCATTAAACCCTACTCCTACCCTCTGTCACCCCTCTCTTACCGCAACTAATCATGAACACTTCTGTAACTTTCTGCGCTTGCCAATGAGCATCCTTCATGTAGGTAGTTCCAAGTTGGCTGAAAATGTTCAGTGCCAAAAGTTGCATTCATAGAAGGAACCTTTTCTTTCTTGTCTGTAATCTATTTTTATGAATTGCAACTTTGTCACATGCATGCTGATATAAACATGATTTGTATTCCAATGTTGTACGTTGTGATCATCAATTTGTAAAATTGTTTATCTGTTTGTCTGCAACCTCTTCCCTCCTCCCTGCTTTACTGTGTGGCCTCTGCCATGTTGGCTTAATAATATATGTGTGGTTATGATTATTATATATTTGTATACATTATAAAGCTAGCAACTACATATATGTGGCTGCTTGTTCCCAGATAAAACACTGTGGCAAAGCAGCGCTCGTGTGTGTCAAGCCTCATCTCTGTCGCAGTCTTGCGCACTTTTACCGTGTGCCGGCCCTTTGCCTCAAAAGAATGACGATTATGCTGCGGATAATTGGTGATTTAAAATTCTGTCCTGCAGACCCATGTCAGCCCCTAAGCTTTGGTTCTCGATTGTGCAGATGCAGCATGGAGGCCTCCAGTGAGTGGACCAGCATTCCGGCGTATGCAGCCCACCTGTCTCTGCTCCAACCAAATCTGCCCGCACGTGATGTGCTCATCAAAGAGCTGCGCTCACTTAGATCGCCGTTCACTAGCACTCGCATGCAGCTGCCCCTGCGCTGCAACATTGTAAGAAATAATCTTGGTGTAGTAAAAAAAAAAGCTTATTGTGCGATTCGTTACAAAATTGTAGGCTCGACCGACACAAAACTCCACGTAACTTGCCGTTTCATGGTCTGGCCGAGGCACTAAGGCATGTGGATGAGACATGCTTCATAATTATCTGAGCTGAAGCCCCAACCTATCTGAAACAATGATGTATAAGCGATGTTGTTGGCTGCAGTGTTTGGAATCTGAAGTTGCGTTCTGATACCACTGTGTGAACGACACTCGCACAGCTTGTGTACGATTCGCCAGGCTAAAGTTTCTATTATGTGGCAAATAGTATAGCACAATGCCATGTGTGCAGAGCTTTTGTTGGGCTCATGCACTTATCAGATGACAGCAGAGCTGAAATTGTATCTCTAGAGGGTCACATTCTTGGTGGAAATTAGTTTCCCCTGAGCGGTTTTCTTTATTTCTTGACAAGTGTATGATATTGAACGCGAGAAGCATCTAAGTTTAGGTGTATTATTCAACAAGTGGGTGAACCAGCATACGTGCACACATGCATATATATATGACACATATAAATTGAGCCTACGTGTAAAAAAAAAAAAAAAGAAATGGGGGACCGGTAAATTTCACCTGTAAGAGTTGAATGCAAAAGCAATATCCTAGCCCTAGTGCATGCTTCAACCACTTAGTGTATACTTTTTATTGTTGGATCTTGCTAGAGAAGTTTAAATTGTGGATTACTACAATATAATCAATAAGTTTGAAAGTGGCTTGTGTCAGTAAGCTTTTGCTTGCATATGGCTGCGTTATATGTAAGGGGTAGTATGCTTTTAACCATGAGCAATTGCAGTAGCTGAAATGTTTCCAGACTTGCTATACCCTCTCTACAGGTTTTAAAAGGCCCATAAACTACCTCCGATATTTTTTCGAGGATTTTAAGTAAACGCGCGCATAGTGTGCAGAATGCCATCGCATTCAACGATGCTACATGTGGCAGTGCTACGAGCCGCCAGCACACCACAAATTCTAAGAAACAGTGCCTCTTTTTTTCCTGGCCTTTCGGGCCTTCACGTGACGCACCATGCCACATCTCTGATGTGCCAAGCCAAATATGCCAAATATGCTGTGATTGGTTGAGCAAGAGCCTACGACTTCTGGTCAGTCTGCAAGCATCTGTTTGCTCTGCTTGTTGTTGTTCATCAGGTGCAACACGTGCAGGGCATGGCGTGTCCCCATATGGGTCCATCGTGTTGGTTATTCTTTGAAGGCGTGCCCGCACGCAAGATCTATACCGGCACAATTATGGCAGCCACAGTTCACCAACAAGCACGCAACTGACAGTCGACTACCGTAGTCGTGGCAACCGGAAGTGGATAGTGTTTCAAGCAGGGCGCCAGCGATGACGTATGCCACGCGAGATTGTGAGGGGCATGGAAGGGGCGCTTGGCGAAAGGGCAAAGTGGTGTGGGAGACTATACAAGCGGGGGGAAGTGCAGAAGAAAGCAAAAAGGTGGGGTCGTCACGGTTTCGATAATCAAAAACGTCTTAACACCATTATCACTGCTCCAAATCGAAAAATTCTCATGGTTCCGTGTTGGTTGTACACTCGTTCACAATTTTCCCATCACAACTGAATTTCGTCCGCTGGGTGGTCTAAGAGCTTTTTAAAGGAATATGCATAGTAACGTGTGTGCCTTTTCAAAAAGATTGCTGGCTTTAAAGCATGAAGTCATTATAATAATCACATGTTTCAATGCCTGGTGGTAATGTACATGTGTACGACGTAACATTAATGCTATATACATATTGTATTGGGAAGCTTGTATACAGGGCACTTATGTTTATAAAACATGAGCGTTGTTCGCACTGCATTTCCCAGAAGAGGAAGTTATTTAACTGTATTACTAAGCAGACGCATAGATGTGTGGTAGAACACCTCTTTGCCACGCAGATGACCCAAGTTTGGTCCTCATTGGGACTTGGTAATGTTTATTTATTTTATTTGCATTTTTCTCCATTTTTCAGTTGAGGGAAAAAACTTTTAGCTCACAACCAACGACGCCCACCCTGACACCAGAATTGCTGTGAAGCAGGCTTTTTGATGCTATCGCGTTAAAAAGCATTTTCATACCTTGGCCAGGTCCACAGCAAGAATGCTGAATGTTTCTTTTTCTTGTCTGTGTGCCTGCACTAATTATTTTTTTTTATATGGCAGGAAATTTTACTTATTGTAGTGATAAGAAGTAGTAAAGAAGCTTTGGCTCTTGCGCTGGACCAGCGCGAAGACGAGAAAGACGAGCCCAGAATAATAACAGCCAGCCCACAGGAAAGGTGGTGTCTCTTGTTTCTAATTTTTCACAGCAAGGGCGCAGTCGTCAAAAGGCTTTGGCAAACCTCCGCTGCTAGCTTGCAGTAATGCATCTTCCAGAAGAACACTGTGACTTATCATCGCTGATGGAACCCGCAAAGCGACAGCCGCAGAAAGTATTGATCCAACCACCAGCGGAAGGAATCCAGACCTTCATTGTGGTTCCAGGGAACTTGTTTGGCGACGTGATACTTTGTACAAATCATGTCCATGGGCTCCTCTCAGCTAGGGACAACAGTAGTACGTGCCTCCTCGATACCTGGCAACGCGTCGACGCTTCAAGTACCATTGGTGGATGGCCTCCATGCTTCCTCAGCGGCTCAACGTTGCTTCGTTGTTTGCACAGTACCAGGTCACGACACATTCATGACACAAGTCAGGATAGGTGGACATTATTTTCTTTGACTCTAAGAAGGCTTTTGATTTTGTATGCCATGCAAAACTAATTTTAAAGCTTCAGGCTGTAGGATTACCTGATTTTGCAGTTTCTTGTGTTATATAAGGTACAGTATAATTAAGTGACAGAGTGCAGTTTGTAAGTATCGATGGCCATTGCTTGCGGCAGTTGCCAGTGGCATCGGGTGTTCCACTAGGAAGTGTGCTTTGTCCCTTGTTGTTTTTTGTATACGTAAATAATATTGTCACGTGTGACAGGAATGGAGGGAGCAGACTCTAGGTCGAGGAAGAAACTGTTTATTCGGGCCGTACTTGTGGCCACGCAAAAGGAAAGTTACACTGACACTGATAGTGGCGAACAGAGCGTCGGCCGTCGATCAACTGACAAGCGCCGAATCTTGTCGGCATTTATACACTTGCCATTGAATATTCTAGCGTTATCGGTAGTGGCGGCGTATGTTCCAGAATAATCTCTAATGTTCACAAAGTGGGAGTAATTTTGATAAAATAATATACTGCCACCTCAAAGTTTCTCGAACAGGGCAGGCGTGGTTTGCGCTGAGAATTATTGACAGTGAAACGATGCGATAACAAATCTTGAGGACAGAACGTGGCATTACCCTTCTTGAAAAAGGCATCGTCTTGATGCCTAAAAGAAAATACGAGAGCAAGATGAATGCAAAAGTAACAGTAAAACAAAAAAGTATGACAAATAGGCATAAGCAATAATGCACAATTATGGAGAAACAACAAATAATACAGTCATTATGTCCCTAATGCACATGGAATGGTTTGAGGCGCATGACATGGACGACTTCAGGTCGTGCACGGCGCCATCGAGAGTTTGTGATGTCGTTGAGGACAATCTCATAGTCAAGTGCGCCGAGGACGTCGAACTACCTTGTATGGTTTGAAGTACCGTCGCAGAAGTTCTTCGCTCAGTCCTCGTCGGCGTATCGACGTCCATATCCAGACGCCTTCGCCGGGCTGGTACTTTATGTAGCTTCATCGAAGATTGTAACGGGGGCTGTCCGGCTTCTGCTGATTTTTGATGCGCAGGCGGGCGAGTTGTTGAGCATCTTTGGGGCGCTGGAGATAGACAGTCACGTCGATGTTTTCTTCGTCGCTAACGTTGGGTAACATGGCATCGAGCATCGTGGCTGGGCTCCTTGCATGCACCAGCTTGTACGGCATCATCTGCGTCGTTTCTTGGACGGCCGTGTTCTATGCGAAGGTCACGTATGGAAGAATTGCATCCCACGTCTTGTGCTCGACGTTGATGTACATGGCCAGTATATCGGTGATGGTCTTGTTGAGACGCTCGGTGAGGCAATCGGTCTGTGGATGGTAGGCGGTGGTCCGGCGGTGACTTGTATGGCTGTACCTCAGGATTGCCCGAGTTAGGTTCGCTGTAAAAGTGGTACCTCTGTCTGTGATGACGACTTCTTGAGCTGCGTGACGCGAGACGATACTCTCGACGAAGAACTTTGCTACCTCGGTGGCATTGCCTTTGGACGGAGCCCTTGTTTCGGCGTAGCGGGTGAGGTGGTCAGTTGCTACGATGATCTATTTGTTTCCGGAATTCGGCGTCCAGAACGGCCCCAGTAAATCCATGCCTATTTGCTGAAACGGCCAGTCAGGAGGCTCGATAGACTGGAGAAGACCGGCTGGCTTGTCGGTGGTGTCTTTCGTCATTGACAGTCTCGACATGTCCGAACGTAACGAGTGGCGTCGGCGGCAGGTCGTGGCCAGCAATACTTCTCCCATATTCTCGCGAGTGTACGGGAGACAACAAGGCATCCAGTCGTCGACTAGTCGTGTAGAGCATCCAAGACTTCTGGACGTAATGCCGAAGGTACTACGAGAAGATAGTTGGCCCAATGTGGTGAAAAGTTTTTATTGACGAGGACACCCTTTCGCAAGAAAAACGATGCCAGTCCTCACTTGAATACTTTTGAAACAACGGCAGCCTTGCCCTCTAGGTATTCCACAAGGCCCTTGGTTTCAGGGTCGGCACACTGCCGTTCTATAAAATCATCGACGCTTAAGGTTCCCAGGAAGCAGTCGCCGTCCTCGTTATCCTGCGGCGGTGGTTGAACAGGGGCGCGAGACAGGCTGTCGGCGTCGGAGTTCCTTCGTTCCTACTTGTAAATGACGGTGATGTCGAATTCCTGAAGTCGCAGACTTCACCGTGCGAGGCGACCTGAAGGGTCCTTCAAGTTAGCTAGCCAAGAGTGGCCATGGTGGT